CTATGAAAAATAAACAATAAAATTAGAAAGAAAATGTTTGACGTTAATAATAATGAAGAATTTTAAATGAGACCTCTTTAAATTGGTTTGTAATAAAGAAAACATGTTAGGCAATGACCAAACCTTCCTCCAATTTAAATCTCTAACAAACCCAGAGCAATACACTGCAAAAAATGCTTCTCTTACTTAGATTTTTTGTCTAGTTTTGAGTCCAAATATCTCACAGTTCTTAAATCAAGAAGAATTTTCTAGACAAGCAAAACATATTGCCTTGTTTTCAGCAGTAATATGCCAAAATTAAGTGAATTTTTCTTAAAACAAGCAAAATAATCTGCCAATGGGGTAAGCAAAACAATCTTGTTTTTCCTTTTGACATAAGATTATTTTGCTTACCCCATTGGCAGATTATTTTGCTTGTTTTAGGTAAAAACTTACTTAATTTTGGCACATTATTGCTGAAAACAAGACAATATGTTTTGCTTGTCTAGATAATTCTTCTTGATTTAAGAACTGTGAGATATTTGGACTAGAAACAAGACAAAAAATCTAAGTAAGAGAAGCATTTTTTGCAGTGTAAGAGATAGTTGAATCTTCTTTTTTAGGTTGTATTGGCAGGTTGCGACCTAGCTTTTACAGTAGGTACATATCGCCACCTGATGGAGTGTGAAAAGAAAGGCTCTAGTTTCCAACCTATTTGCTACATCCTGTCTATTTAACCGATATTTCTAATTATTTTAGATTTGTCCTGATTTTTTCTCCTGCATTTGGCTCATCTTTTAAAACCCTGCTTAATGCCAATTTAGATAAACCCATTCTTAATATTTCTTCTTTTAAACATAGTCTTTCCCTTTCATATGTACACAGAAACAACACATGCTCCACTTTTTCCTCTACTAAACATGCCTCACATAAACCTGTATTGTGTTTACCTTTAATATGTAATGTACAATTGACATTGGAATGACCTGTTCGTAAATGTAGATCGTTTTTTCTCTCTCTTTTTTTGTAAAAGTATTTTTTAACTCAATGCCACAAAACAAGAGGCATTACATTTCACATAGTTTCTAATAGAAAAATAAAATGAAGTTAAATTACATTTACATGAAATTAGATGTTTTCAAAGCAGTACATGTTTTCAGTGCTATTTTGTTTTGTGATTTTTCAAAAAAAATTACATATAATTTGAAGTCATTCACAAAATGGGTAAAGTTTGGTTTACATTGAGTCCACCTTTTCTTATGTATATGGTATTTTCCTAACAGTATAAACAAAATAAAAAATATATTTTCCTTTACAGTTATCTCATTATCAGAACAAAACAGTAGATCAAATAAACCAATTTCTATCTTATACTCCATTTTTTTGTTAATAAACAATTACAAATCTTTCCAAAATATTCTTGAGTAAATACAATGAAAAAAAGATGCTAAATTGTTTCTTTTTCTTGACCACAAAATTCACACATATATGAAATATTAAGTTTAAATCTTTCCAAAACATATTTAGCAGGATAAATATTAAGGAGTATTTCGTACAACACTTCCTAAATTTTGTTATTTATGCAAAACTTATTTATCAACTTCCAAGCTTTAACCCAAGAAACATTATTAAATAATGAAAAAAAATATTGCTTTAATAATATCAAAATATATTGCTGTAGGTAGAGACGACAAACAGAAAGCCTTCCTTATTACCTTATTGTTACATCGTTTTAAAACATCAACATTGTAAATGTAGATTTTTTAAGCAAGAAAGAACCTAACAAAGATAAAATATGAACAAGGAGACAAAGAGGGTTACATAAATAAAATTCTAGCAAATTAAACAAGTTTAAATTATTTACACCAGGAAAGCGTTCTAATAATCGTTAGAGTCTTTTAGAGCGTTCACCTATATTTCAAAGCCTTTTCTAAAAATGAAAAGTAAAGGTGTTTCTTTGAAAATTTACATTTATGGATGTAAATTTTTGCTAAAAAACAAATTTATAATAAATTTACAATGAGAGGAATCTACATTCAGCGAGAAACCAAGGAATGAAATTTGGGGGGAATTACAGTTTTGAAATAAGAATGTTTTAATGAAATTGGAAAAGTCAACCCAAAACACTTTACAGTAACTGCACTCCCAAAATAAATGGTTTAGGGTTTTATCGCACTGAGTACAAAATGAGCTTTTAGGGGTAATATTGGTATTAAATTTAGCTAGTTTGGTATTTATTGTGTAGCATTTATAAATGATTTTGATTGAGACTTCAACGGCTTTATTAGATAAAAAGATTTTTTTTCTGAAGAAGCCAAAACTGTTTCCAATCTATGTCATTAAATATATTATTCCAAAAACCTATGCAAGCAGGGAAAGAGATCCGAGAACTATTAATAACTAAGCGAATATCTTTGTTTGACATAGAACTGAGAAGAGTTTGGTGAACAAAAGGATTTGGGTTGTCAAAAATAAAAGAATCTAAAGAACCTTTAGGGCCAGATTTGACTAAAGGTATAACTCAATCAGGGATTTAACCAAAAACTATGGCATATTCTTTTGGGGGAACAGGAAAAGAAAACTGATGCATACATTTTTCGTATGAAAAAGGGACACCACAATACTCTAAGAGCTGACTAACTAAAAGTATTGTAAATGTAGATAATTTTTAAAGAATAAAAATATACAACCACAATCAGGAGATCAATATAAGAGAGATACAAAAGAGGAAAAATACAAACTACATTCGCTGCAGAAAGAAAACAAGACTAACAAAACAAAGGAAAAGTAAAGTTTAAAGGTTAAGTAAATTACAACTGTATAAAAGTGTATGAAAATAAATAAATTAAGAGCATTAGGAAAGCTATCTAACTCAAATCAGAGTCAATAGATAAAAGTTCTTCATACAGAACCAAGAAATCACATTTTTTGTTGTTACACATACGGAAATATTTAAGCAGTGAGTCAACTTCAATCAGAAAATGTCGAAAAGGAACTAAAAGATTGTGCAAAGGTAGGAGGAGTGTTTAAATAACGATAGAGGTCAAACCAAAATTTCTGAACAAATTCACACATACAAAACAAATGTATTAAAGTTTCATCATCCTCACCACAAAATGTACAATTACTCGGAATATCAACATATTTGGAAACAAATGAGTTAGCCGGATTTATTTCATGCAATATTTTAAAGTGGATTTGTTTAGTTTTATTAGGAAGGCATCAACCAAGCTTTTCTCCAATCTATATTATTAATTAATGCCGCAAAATAAAATTTGCCTCGCAGAACAATAAGATTTATTTGCGGAAGAATTAGATGAATATGTTTATTATTATATTTCTCATCATGAGTGTCAATGCCGTCCAGCACTAATGCTGATTCCTTCATATTTTTTGTATTGTATTGTATATGACTTTTGACCAGATGCATTAAGCCTGTAGGGATAGCTCTAAGAACAGTATTACATTCTCTAAAGGGAATAGGAAAGTCATGAACAGTCATAAAGCGCTCAAAAGACAGTAAGTTACCAAAATCATCAAATAAAGAAAGTAAATAAATTAATCCTCTATCAACTCAATTAGGATAAAAAAGATTTATTTCTAGCAGTTAAATCCATATCATTCAACAAGATTGTAAATGTAGATTTTTTTTGTATTAAACAGTACACATTTAATAAAGCACAGATGAGATTTACAAGCCATTAAAAATAGAGAAAGGCTTGCAAACACGTCCTTTTTATGCTTGACAATTAGATGAATTAAGAGTTTTGCTCTGGAGGTTGAATATTTAGATTTATTGAATATTTGATGTTGAATGTTAAATATTTGGCAACAAAAACCAAATTCACCACATAAAACTGGCGCTCATACTCAAAGTCCAATGTAAAGATCCTTTTTGAAACTAAGTACAATGTAAAAAGATGTTAGCCATACAACACAACGAAAATTTGTAAATGTAGATTTTTTTATGTAGTATTTATAAACATAGTACAAGAGAATACATCTCACAACAGTTATGAAAATAATAAAAATAAATCAAATAAAATGAAAGAAATTATTTCAGTTAGACAAAGTATAAGCAGATGCCAGGGGCAGAAAAATAAATTGGTAAGATAATAATAATAACAAAAAAAAAAAACTTATTCAATCAATTAAAATTTACATAATGCCTAATATTTTTTTTTTAGCTTTTCTTTTTTTATGTTACATAATGTAAGTTAGTACCATATTGTTTAATCTTCTTTATAAAATGAACACAATTTAGCTTAGCTTTGGCCCATTTCTTGACATGAATATGGAATGTTCCAAGTAATATTATTAGTTGTTTACGAAAACATATTTTGAATCAATTCCATCTTGTACAAAAGCAAATTTGACAATTGTAAATGTAGAATGTTTATTTTTTTTTGTACATTTTTTTAATTGCAATAACAACATTACATTACAACAAATACAGATACAAAACTGAAAGTATGGTACAACCAATAGAAATGTTACTTTTTGAAAAAAGTGGAACGTAACAAATTTAGAACATTTTTTTATTTTTTTTTATTGAATGCTTGAAAAACAATAACAACAAATGTCATGAATCAAACAGCAACATTCCAGGGGTTTTTAGTCATTTAGTCCAAGATAAGTGCCAAGTCCTTAATCAAAGTCCTCGTTCGTATTGCTTTTAAGTTGGTTGATCCTTCAATACACTCAAAATACATTTTCATTTCAATTTTAAATTTAGGGAAAAAAGGTTTACACTTGCAAAACTTGCTCTTGTGAATATGAAATTTGGCCAACAAAAAAACAAGGTTCATGAAATAGGTATTATTTTCCTTTTCACAATCATGGAAACCAAAGATAACATTCTTATATGTAATGTAAATGTAAATAGTTAAATCAAAAACTCACTGTGTGGCGTACGCGGACGGTGTCCTCCGAGGGCCAGTGCGCGCGTTTGCGTATCCGCCCCCTCCTATCCTGTCCTGCTTTCCCTCTCACACACGCACTCGCAGTGACTGAGAAGGCGATGAGAATGAGATGAGAACAGCCATGGAGGAGCTGAGCGCGGTAGGAGAGCAGGTCTTCGACGCCGAGTGTATCCTCAACAAACGCACGAGGAAGGTAACCAAACATCCACTCAATACACAGCGCGATCCGAATGCGTGCGCGATCCTCAACGCCTGTTTGATTTCCACAGGGCAAACTGGAGTATCTGGTCAAGTGGAGAGGATGGTCGTCCAAGTAAGTGTGAACTGAAGCACATACTGCATTTATTGTGTTGTTTGTAATACGGTCAGCGAGTGCGTGTATGCAGCAGATGGAGTAGTAGTGTGCAAGTGTAGTGCTGTTTGACTTACTGTGCCTGTGAAACATCATTCAGCGTCAAGCTCGAGAAAGAGAAACAATGAAAACAACAACAGCGTGTTGCGCCTGTTTCAATTCGCGTCCACGCGTGAACTCGTGCACTACTCTCTCTCTCTCTCTCGTTAGATTAAATTACACTTATTTTGACGCGTTTCTCCTTGTTTTCTTGGTTACTTTTGCTTCATTTTTGAATTAAGTTGTTTTGGTTGGACGGTTGATTTAAAGACCCGTCTAAAACAGCCATAAACTTATAAAACACCTAAGTGTTGTACTTGTTGTGGTTTTAAATGCTGCACATCACGTAATGAATGAATTCTGTAAGCTGCCGAACGTTTGTTACATTGTATCATTTTTGGAACGCGCTCTGTTGCTTTGTAAAAATTCGTTATTTTTTGAAAATAGAACCGTTTGATCTCGCGCCGTCTGCAGAACACAGCGCGTGGTTTGTTTTGAATTCTCTCTCTCTTTTCCCATTAAAAACTCCAGCTGCCCCCAACCCCCCCTTAATGCCCCCCACTCTTGCTCTCCGTTACACCGTCGCCCCCTTTTTGCCCCTTCTACGGGCACTCGAGCTGTCAATCACACGAGCCACACCTCCCGCGCGCGCGCTTCCATCTGCTTCATTGATTATTTACGTCTTGCATCTATTTTTTATTCTTCTTTAGTAGCCTACGTTCAACTAAGGTCATGGTTTGACCAGGGCTAAATGCACTGAGAGTGTCTAACATGCTTTAGATTGTACATATTATGGACTAGAAATTAACTCTTGGTGTAGAACATTTTATAATTCGTTTATATTGCTGCGAATAAATATCAGTGGGGCTCTTAAACCTTTGACTGTCCCTCTGTCAAACGGTTGACCATGTATTACTGTTTTAAATAATGACATTTAAAGTCTTTTAAATAATGACGTACACGCACAGCATTGTTGGTTTACAAAAAAAGAAATCAAACAAACATCCTGTTGCACATACTACACTTGATTTTGGTTTTATTGTAAACAATTTATAATAATCATGAATATAATTGATTTAGTATTCAAAAATGTTATATTTTGAATATTTATTTTAAATAAATTGGACTTACACTTCATATTTTCAGATTTTTCATAGTATATGTATTAAGTCTGGTACTTTTACCATAAACCAACATGTCTACCATTTGGTAGAGGCTGATATTTTTGAAATTATGGGATGTATAAAAAATATGCATTACGTGTGTTTTCTAGTGACATTAGGAGTTAAGAAGTGCAATCCAAAAAAAAATAAAAAAATCTTGGTGGGATAGTTAACAAAGAGTTAACAACTTCCCTGGTCTGTTGTGATTGTTTCAAGAATAAGAGACAAGACGTCAAATTAAATTTGCATGCATATTAAACAGATTTTTAATGTTTCACACGTCACTTATGTGGAATAATTGTCAAAATATGTGCGCACAAATGTTCTTTATTACGGTAAAGTTGGTTTTATATTCGCACATTTGTCTATTTTACCGCTCAGTATATTGTTTACTACGCTAATTTGAATATTCAGTCTAAAATCAAATTGCATTGTAAAAGTGCTATGCAAATAAAAATGAATTGAACTGAAATTGCATGTAAGTATGACTTCAAAACAGCATTAGCTCTATTAATTGATCGTGAACAATGTTGTACTTTGATAGTCATCGTCTAATCATGTAATTCCCCTATTTAGAATTTGCTTTCGATACTTTTCTAAAAAATTATATTATCAAGGAGAAAGTCTGAATGTGTGAATATTAAACCAACTTTACCTCAATATGTTCTTTTGTCATTCAATATAACTAATGTAAAATGAAAATGATGCATATTCTGATCTTTACTCTATCTTAAATATCTAAAACAATTAAGTGCTCAAGCTAAATTTGTGTTATTATCAGGGTTTTAAAATGTCTTAAATGTCAAAAGCTAAATTTAAGACATTAAAAAGTCTTAAGTCTGCTGAAATATTGTGTTGTAGGTCTTAAATCCTTTTTAACAGGTCTTAATTTTCCTTTGTTTGTGTATAGCCACCCAATTTGGCTATTAACACCCATACAATAACCAACAATCCACTTTTTATTTAAAAATAGCATATAATTACTTTCCCTACAGTAATGTTTGATTAAAAGTTCTTCATTTATTTACTGCTGAGCAAAACTGACCTGACTTTTTTTAATTATTATTAAACGTATTAAATTATAATCCTTTTTTGATGGGTCAAGTGAGAATCATTTCCAACTGGGGTATTCCAAAAAGAAAAATCCTTAGCATTTAGCCCTGTAAAAGTGAATAATTTCATTCATAGTGGTCTTAAAAGTGTCTTAAAGTTTGAAATGTAACTTTGTGAAACTTGCAGAAAACCTGCATTGAATTTAGTTGAAACATATTTGTTAACAAATGTCTAAATAGTTAAAAGAAAAAAAGACAAACTAGAAAGATTTTGGTGTGACACATTGATCATTAAAGTATTAAATCATTAAATCTAATTAAAGTCTTTCGATGTATCATCAAATGGTTGCTCTAAATATGTCTAATAAGATTTGTGAGCTTAAAATCTATTGTTTTGCTCAATTTTATTTTCTGTCTAATAAAAATCAGGGCAAGTTTACTTTTTATGGTTAGAAAAAATTAGATGTTTTCTAATGCACAGATAAAAAAAAGAAAGCTTAAACATTCATTCATTAATTTCCTTCGGCTTAGTCCCTTTAGTCATCAATATTCACCACAGCGGAATGAACCGCCATTTTATCTAGCATATGTTTTACGCAGCAGATGCCCTTCCAGTACTGGGAAAAACCTATACACACTCATACACTACGGTCAATTTAGTTTATTCAATGCACCTGTAGTTGGACTGTGGGGGAAACCAGAGCACCCAGAGGAAACCCACACTAACACGAGGAGAACATGCAAACTCCACACAGAAATGCCAACTGGCCCAGCTGGGACTCGAACCAGTGATCTTCTTGCTGTTAGGCGACAGTGGTAACCACTAAGCCACTTTGTTGCCCCTAAATGTTAATTGTTTCGATACTTATAAACTCTGTGCACACTTAAAGTTTTAATTTATTTATACATTAATTTTCTGTCTGTATCATACAGATCTTTTTGGCATTCTGTCAGTTCCTGATGGATAATATTATTCATTATTTCTTCGTTGGAAATTGCAGTAGAGGTTGTGGGAGAAAAATGAACACTGTTTCATGCTTATTTTCAGTAATGCTGCTGAGTTCAGTGTGTCTATTTTGGTAGATCACTACTTTTCTTGTGGTAAATGAAATCCAGACGGCCCAGACTCTTTGAAGTGCCCTTTTAAGTAAACTGTCATCTTATCTTTCTTACTTTTTTTTTAACCCTCGCCTCGGCTATGTAACCACAACATGTCTAAAGTTTGGTTTAACTCCACATTTTTTTCTGTTTACATTTACAGTATTAATGCAAAACTGACATCCAAATGATATTCAAGAGGTCACAAATAGCTTGTATTTGCATATATAAAAATAATAAATTTAAAAATAAACAGTTTTGACTGCTTATTATTTTAGGTGGCTTTTTTCATCTGCACATGATTCATAATAATTCCATGATAATATGTAATATTTCTGCTACTTTTCATTCTTGTAGAGGTTTGAGGGAAAATATTGATACAGCAAAGTATAGGGCTGCATGATATTGGAAAAAATATATAGCGATATATTTTTCTGTGATAAATATTGGGATATGAATACAGTTTCACAAGTTTTCTGGGGAATCTAACAGAGTTCAGGAACAGAAATGTATTAATAACAATGCAATAAATTATTCTCTTAGTTTGCTTTGTCTCATCTCTAGCTAAAATGTTATAAAAAATCTGAGAGCAAGTAAAATTTTCGTTTGTTTTCAACTTCAAAAGAAATAAGCCAAAATTAAGAGTTTTTCCTTAAATTAAGCTAAATTATCTTCCAGTGGGGTAAGCAAAGAAATCCAGTTTTTGCTTTAAAATGTAGATATTTGAACTAGAAGCAAGAAACCTTTTTGCATAAATCCTGTATAAATATAGTAATTAAATTCAATTGTGTAGCTCCTGGTCAACTCTAATTCATACTCGACATTGCATATCTTGCGATGAGACTATTGTGGATGCGCACATTGTGATATCGATGCTGAAACTATATATTGCGCTGCCCTAGCGTAGTATCACACTATTTTCTGTGGCAGCAAAATATCATTACACAGATTCCCTTATATTCAATATAACTAATATTTTAGTATATTTTTTGATTTAATATAAAAATTCAATAATGAACATTTGAAGTGGATCAAAAACAAGTTCTAAGAAATGAAGAGGTGAACGAAAAGAGACTGAGGAAGCCCAGCTAATAATTTAGTGTTTAATAGACATCTAAATGTGGACAGCTTGGCTAAACAAGGCTAAACTTGGGCTGTCAGTGAAAATCTAATAGTCTAGTTTTGGCCTATTCTCTGACATCTATTAGATTTTCATGGTTGTTAGATGTCTGATAGACATGTGAACATGGTCGTCTTGGCTAAAACATGACTAAATTTGGGCTGTTAGTGAAAATCTAATAGACATCTAAAAACAGCCCAAAACTAGACTAGTCATCAAATAGACAGATTAGACAGACTTTACATTTGTAGTCACTCATTTCTGTTTATTTGATGACTGGTCTAATTTTGGCCTATTCTTAGATGTCCATTAGGTTTTCACTGACAGCCCAAATTTAGCCTTGTTTCAGCCAATGTTTAGATGTCTATTAAACATCAATTAGACATCTTTTAAAAACAAAGAAATCCTTTCTGGGAAGGTTTTGATCCACTTTAAATGTTGACTAGTGTGGATCTCTTTTATAGTCCACTAGATAGATGGTGATGAACTTAAGTTTTGTTTTTTTTTTTTTGTTTTGTTTTTTTCTTCCGTTGAACAGAGTCAGCTTTAGCAAGTAAAATAAAAAAATGGTGCACACAACATTTATGACAGCATTATATCAAAGTGTTTGGTCTGTTTGACGGTGCCATTTTAAACTAAGAAACTTACATTATTTACAATATTAGTAACTTTAATCTACTGCTTAGTCAAATAGATATCAGTGCTTGTACGAATATGGACGACAAGGAGGCTCAGTGGTTAATACTGTCACCTCACAGCAAGGTCACTGGTTTGAGTCCTTGGTGTGCCAGTTGGCATTTCTGTGTGGGGTTTGCATGTTCTCCCTGTGTTGGTGTGGGTTTCCTCTTGGTGCTCCGGTTTCCCCCACGGTCCAAAGATGTGCTGTGAGATTAGGTGAATTGAATAAACTAAATTGTCCGTAGTGTATTTGTGTCAATGAATGCTTCCTAGAACTGGTTTGTGGCTAAAAGGGCATCCACTGTGTAAAACATGCTGGATAAATTGGTGGTTCATTCCGCTGTGGTGACCCCTGATAAACAAAGAGAATAAGCCGAAGGAAAATGAATTTATAAATGTAGTCCGGTCGCTTTTGATGACAAAATCATGAGGGCTAATGATGCAACCAACAAACCTCATCACTTGACCTCTCGTCTAATTACATGCTGTCATGGTTTTGTCATCAAAAGTGACTGGACTATAATCTGACTACATTCACTGAGAACAGTTTAACCTATTTTTGACCACAATTTTCTTTTTTAGGTGAACTATCCCTTTAAGGATCAGAGTTTGGCTCTAACAATACAAATCATTTGTCATTTTTAAACCTTTATAATTTGCCTTCATCCTTTAAACCACAACATTTTTAATTGTGTAACATATATTAAAATGTAGTATGATCAATTTACTATGTTTTAGTGAGAACAGGTCAGAGTCTGCATTTTGTTTAACTTTAAATGTCCAGTCTAATGTTATTTCTCTCATATTTCAACACTAATGGATGTAACTTAATGAGTGTGTTTATGTGGTCTACTCACGTGCTAAATAAGCCAGTGTCTGTGTTTCAGGCATAACAGTTGGGAACCTCAGGAAAACCTTCTTGACCCGAGACTATTGGTTGCATTTAACAAGAGGTAAGAGGTTTCTCCTATTGGACGAGCAGGTCTGTGTGCCAGAGCGACGCCCCGTTCTCCATGTGCAAACAATATGGGCTGCAACGCTTGGGAGGGCGTAAATGGGGCTCCATTCACGGGCCATTCAGGGGCTGCAGACGTGTCTCAGCTCACGAGTTCCTCTGCAGCCTGATGGAAAAATCAAACAAGGGTTAATGCTTTTGACAGGAACTACTTTTAGTTTGCTTTATCAGCATTTCACTGGAGGAAATATAGGTGTGAAAGTTAGACATGGGAAATGACACCACTTGTTGGTTTCTGTTATGTTAAAACTGTTTTTGTTGGTTAACAGATTCTGAAAAAGTTCTTTCAGTGTAAGTTTTTTCTTATTATCTTTCCTGTTTTATCTGGGAATAAAAAATGTACATTAAAATGTCATTGAAGGAATTATGCTTTAAAAAAACACATACATCCATTCAAAACTATTCTGTTTTTAATACAAATTAGAACAAAAGATGGTTGAGACAGGAAGACAATTGTAAACGGGAAGTAAATTTGCTGCATCCCAATTCGCATATTTGTACTATGCCCTGACGTGGTCCAAACACAGTGAATTATGTTTGATCAAACAAAAGAATAGTGAAATCTGAAAACAATGATCGATCCCTGTGGCTTGTACAGCACCTCTCATCAGTTGGAATACAATAACTTTTGCATAGATTATGGTAGAAACATTTTTCTTTTTTCCTATGATTACAGACATGTGCAGAAACCACCTAAATTAATTACAGCAAGCTAGACCACACAGAACCTAAAGGTACACTTTCAAATTCGAGTTTATAAAAATACAAAAATCGCCTCTTTTTTTAAAAGTGTTTATTATAACACAGACAACATATACAGTTATTTTAAACGCTTTCAATAATGTTTTTTTAAAAATTCAAATGGTTTTCTTTAAAACGAGACCAAATTTTTGCATTTACACCTTTGAATGTGGATTTGGGAAGCTTTTAAATTTAAGTAGACAAAATCCAGGCGGAAATTCCAAAATAACAGCAGAGATTAACTGGTTAATTTCTGAACAGGTCTTTATATAAGTTCAGTATTTAAATATTTTCCAGTGGTCTAGATATTAATGAACAGTCATACAAACATCTTTTCCGAAGCCTCTCTACTTGACGGTTGGTCTTGCGCATTTATCATGTTTATAGTTTATTTACACTTTTCTCCCGCATTTGTAGTTCTAATCGATTCAGCGGTTAGAGTATGGACGGTTCTACACTTAAAATTTTGACTGGAAATAGTAAATTATCAGGTAACCTTTGGCATACTCTTTTTCAACATACTACGAATTGGGACATACTAATTCTAATTTCAAATACTATTTAATACGGATAGTATGCGAATTGGGACGAAGCACAACTGAATTTCACAATATACTTGATAGCTGCGTCCCAAATGGCACACTATGCACTTATGCACTTACATACTCAACAACATAGTATGTGTATGTATTTACATCCCAAATTAAACAATAATGTTTTTTTACTAAGCAAAAATTCAGTGTGTTTTCCATATGACGTTTAACTGTTGCCAAATTAGTGAAATAAATGACCAAACTATCAAATAATACCTGCCATGAGTACAACTGCATTCACCATCGGGAGGCGCTGTAATCACGCTCGTAGGGGAATTTTGCTTTCACAATCCAAAATAAATAAAGTTATCCAACATCAGTACCCAAAAGCTCCGCCCCTTCTGCTATATGAAGAAAACTACGACCGTTGAGTCCATGAAGTTTCACATTTCACACTTCATTTTAATGGTTGAATAAGTGCATCTTCTGGGTATTTAAAGTGCACTTATTATTTTTAGAATAAAAGAATGTTTTAGTGTAAATGCACTACATACACTATTTATACTACAAAATGGAGAAGAATAGTGCGATTTGGGACAAACCGGATGTTTTACACAAAACTGTTTATTAAAACTATGAAAGTTGTTAAAATAATAAAATATAACATTTTAAATGGAGTATATTTTCTAATGTATTGTTTTATGTAGATGAAATAATTTTCGTGTCTTTCACAGTTTTTTTAAATCTTATTTTTAAATTATAATTGTGCATGAAATGGCCAATATAAAACATGCTTTAATCTCTTAACGACCATATAGAACACAGTTTAAATGTACAGTAGTTGAGGTCAGCAGAGCTGCTCTACAATAAATTCAATCTAGGTGTTTCTGTTTTCTATTGTTGAGCTGTCATTGTGTAGAACATATGCCAGAGTAATTAGAGGTTCATGCTGCTGTGGCGACCTGTGATGAATCAGGGACTTAGCTGTAGTAAAGTGAGTAGGGATGGCCCATGTGAACCTGACGTTTCGACAAAGTGTCAAGATCCTGAAGCACATGAAACACTACTGAAGCATGATCCGAAAAACTCAGGTCAGTAGCCAAGGTGATAAAAAAATAGGTCACATGAGTAAAGTGTTTTGAAACACCAGGTCATGTACATAAAGTGATTCAAAGCATCTGTCATTTCAGAAGCCTTTCAAGACCTAGAAAATCCATGTTTTACTGACAGGGTTGGTAAAAAAGCCTCGATCTCATGTAACCTTGTGGACTATGCCTGTGCACAGAGTAACTGTGCTGCAAATGGCCCGAGTTCAAATCCTGAAAAATACTCTGAAATTATGACTTAATGTATTTTAATAATGTTATTTTTTTATGAGCAAAAGACATTTATTCACAAAGTGTTAATTGGGATGTCAGACCAATGTTAAGAGAAAATGCATTACAAGAACAGAGGATTTCAAAACTAACATCACTGGAAGCCTTAACTCTACAACATGGGGTTTAATACCTCATATTGCTGAAGCTGTTCCAGAGCAATACATAAGAAATGGCCACTATGTCGGCGCAATAGCCTAGTGGTTAGCATGCAGACATATGGTGCAGTAGCATGTCAGGGCGTGTAGAGTTCGAATCCCGGCTTAAGGACATTTCCATACCCTACCCCCTCTCTCTCCAACTCCGCTTCCTGTCTCAATACTGTCCTATCTAATAAAGGAAAAAAGGCCAAAAATAAATCCTTGGAAAAAATGGCCACTAGGTGTCACTGTATAGATGGGTTTCAAAGTCGTTTTAGTGTTTTATGAAGCCTTGCTTTGCCCACCACTAATAGTGAGTGACTTAGCTTGTGAAATGGGTGTTGTTGTTGTTTTTTTTCTCTTTAAAAAGTTGCCTCTACTCAATTTGCACTGTATGAAGCACTCTAGAAATAACTGACTTAACAGTTGTACACAAATTAATAAATGTTTATGCATTCATAGGGAGCAGGAGAAGGAACTCTTGATAAGCAAAAAGGGGAAACGGCCTCGTGGACGACCCAGAAAAATAATGGTGAGTATGTTATAAAATATGCCTCAGTTTATGGCTGGACAATGTATCGAAACAAAAGCACAAACAAGATTGAGCAAAGACACTATTGTCATGCACTTCTTATCAGGGAAATACGTTAAAACTCCAAATACCCTCAAAGAAACCCAGGAAATCCCTATAGTGTTAAATTTGACTGCTTTCATTGATTTAGCTTGCATAATTAACACAACTACTTAATCGTTCTGAACACTCGAGTAAAGTTATTAAGTGTGTTTGAGACACTAAAGGCTGATTTATACTTCTGCGTCAAACACCGGCGTAGGCTACGGCGCTGACGCATAGCCCTTCGCCGTGGCCGTCGCTGACGTGCACCTCTCAAAAATTGTAACTACACGTCGCAACAACGCATAGCGCAAGCTCTGTGATTGGTCGGCTTGCTAGCGCCGACGAGTCTGGGCGGGACCGATAGCCGCGCGAATGGCGCGAGCGATTGTTTACAAGTGTGGAGTCCCGTGAAGGAGCTCCGGATGGAAAGTTTTGTTTTGTGTTTACCTCATGGTTAAAGTTGTTGCACGTCCGCCAGGTTCCTGCCTCAAAATGAGCGAGTTTGAGTCACTTGTACATCCAGGAAGTGTTCAGAATAGCAAAACAGAAGCGAAGAAACTCGACACAGAGGAACATTTACACCTCACTGCCCACTAGCGTTTCGGAAGTGTTAATGCAGACCAACAGAGACAGTGCGCAAAAGTATAAATGCACAGCTGCGCGCGTTGCCTACGCCGTGAATTGCGCCGGTCACTTGACGCAGAAGTATAAACCAGGCTTAATAGTTGTTATTATGCAGAAATATTACTTCAATATCATTATCAACTGCTCAAATCAACTTTGATTTTAATACTGTGACTGTCAAAAGGCTGCTGCTTCATCTGAAAGCACATGTTGGAGGTTTAGAATCCATTTTACTGACAATATGCTCATTAAAATTCGGTTTGATTAATCAGCCAGCTCTAACCAGATCTAGCAAGATGAAAAGATTGTGATTTTGTTTTTGTTCTTACCTCTTTTTTGTGTTCCTCTCTCAGGAAACTATTCCAGTGGTGTCAAAGTCAAGCAGCTCATCCTCGTCTTCATCCTCTTCTGGTTCTTCGTCATCTTCCTCATCATCATCCTCTTCTACAGATGACGACGATGAAGACGACCACAACATGACTCCAAAGCCGATTCCTCGTCCTCGAGAGCATCTCCCGGTCCCGCAGAAGAAAGCGCAGATCGTCGTGGCCAAGCCAGGGCCGCCAAAGAAGCGAGGGAGGAAAGCGCTGCCTCCGGAGCTGAAGGCCATACGTCAAGTTAAAGGTACTCGGAAGATCCTCAAACCCATTTCCAGAGACTCGGATCTCCGAGGCATAAAGAAACCTCTCATGCCTGCAAGCTTCACCTACACCGGCTTGAATCGCACCTCAGGAAGGGAGCCGATGGCAATGCATAACCGAGGGTCTTTTACACACAAGAGTTCCTTAAGCTCCCTTGGACGCTCCATCGGATCCGTTTCATCTTCTCCAACACTAAATCGGTCGCCGCAAACTAAATCTGCTTCAGATTTCAAGCTCTCCGTCTCAGATATGAACAGCGGACTTGATCCCAAGACTCCCACGTGCAAATCTCCAGGTGTAGCCGCACTGAATCTGCACAGCAGCAATGGACAGACGTGTCCACAACTCTCTCCCACTGTGCCGAAAGATCAGACCCTGCTTCAAAGGTCAGCATCTCTCCCGAAATCCCCATCAAGCTCATTTTCATCTCTCAAAACTCCTTCCAGCCTTCAAGCTCTCAATCTGCAGAGCGTCAACAAAACAGTGCAGGGAAACGGGACTGATTTGAAGACTTCCCCGCATTCTGGAAGGAAAAGTTCTGGATTTAACACAAGTTCTGCACCAAACACTCCTAGCAAGTTCCAGACCTCACAGCAAGCCTTAAAGAGTCCACAGAAATTGAAAGCGGATGATTTGGCTGAAAGACTTGGGAAGAAAAGCCAAGCTAGAACAGAAAAGATTCTGCCAACAGAGGGTCGAGATTCTCAACCGGCGCAAGACAGACCCTCGTCTAAAGATCCCAGCAAACAGAGCAAGACCTTGAGCGAATTGAGCACCGGAGAGGAGGGAAGCAGCTCCGATACCGACCATGATTCCTCATTTCCCAGGGACAGCCATGACTTGTCCATCTCTGTGCAAGCAGGTCAGGATTGGAGGCCGACACGGAGCCTGATTGAGCATGTGTTTGTCACTGACGTCACTGCAAACCTGGTCACAGTAACAGTGAAGGAATCTCCAACCAGCGTTGGGTTTTTTAGCATTCGGAATTATTGAATGTCTTCAACTGGAAGTGCAGCTACATTTGGATAATCGGGACAAGTTTCAAGCAAGCTGTTTGATGGGTCTCCATTTTTTAATGGATTTTACTTGTTTTTACTCAAAGTTGGGACTGTTTTACCTGGTCAGATTTGAAGTTCCTTGACACGTTTTTAATCAGACATGTACAATCTCGCCTAATTTGAAGTCTAAAGTGTATTTCTGAAGCGTTCGCCTTGGTTTCAAATGCAGGGATGGTTTTCTTGAAGTTGATTCTGAGTACAGTACTAGTAAAGACAAAATTCACAAGATCAAAACAAATATATCCAAAGTTTTTTTTAGCTGAATCTCAGATTGTGTCTTTTAAAAAGGTGCCTATTTTTAAGCTGTCGTTTTTCTGCTCAATAACCAATATAATGAGGGTTTTTTTCTTTTTGTTTTACTATGATGTGGGTATATTTTGTACTACACAACAGTTCACTGTTTATTTATTATTTCTTACTGTTATTTTTGTTGGTAGGTGACATGCTGAAACACACAGTAAAGATTCTTTTTATACAAAATTCATTATTGTCTGTTCTGAATCAAACCTACAGTTCAGATTATGTAGAAGTATACTGCAATATAATATTTTTGGGTCAAATCTTCCTCACTTTAAGTTATTTATAAACTAATTTAGAGAGGATCATGTGCTTATAATTGACCACAGCTGGTCCCGCATTAGCTAACACTTGATTCATCAGTCAGATAAATTCCATTGCACTATAAATAACCAAAGTTTACTTAAAGGGTCACGAAACACCAAAACACATTTTTTGATCTGTTGACAGTCGTATATGTGTCTCACACTGCTAAAAACACTATTAGGACACCTATATTTCACAAAAAAGTGTAAATTGGTTGTTTTTGCGTTATTTCAAGCAAATTCGTACTTCCTGTTGGAAACAAATTTTTGAAGCTGCGTCACGGTCATGACATAATAGCGTTGTATTCCAGCGTGCAGACTGGGCGTCTGTGCCAGAGTGTGTCTTATTACGTCTTACAGTGTGATGCATTAATGCATGAGTAAGGCTTGGTTCAAACCAATCAGCGTGCTCTATTATGCAACTTCATTAATATTCATTACTGTCAGAGTGTAGACGGCAAAGACGCCACGTTGTGTTGGCAAAACAAGCGTGAAGTGTTGCTTTTATAATTTGCTGCAGTTAAGTTTTGTTTTCATTTTCTCTCTGTGAGAGCGCAGCTGGCGTCACGTGTGGATTAACAGTGTACGCGACGCGCGACAACAATAACTTACGTGTATAAGGAGGATTATTGTTTACCTGAGAGCTGTTCTCATCTGCAAACGCTGAAATCCGGATTCGCTTGTAGTCTCCTCTAAATAAAGACGCGGCTCTAGTTACTGGTGATTGTCCTGTCTCTACAGATTTGGTGAGCGACCAGTGCTCTTTGTTTATTCAGTTGTATTTTATTCGTATCAAACAAACTATTGCACCGAGTGTAAACAAGTTAGCACTAACAGTTACAACCAAACTATAACCTCGTGTTGGATTTTGTGACCGGAATAACACACGCGACTTTCTGACACTACCTGCCGTGTGCATCTAAGTTTCCGGGAAATGCTGAGGTTTTTTTTCTCTCATTCGCCGTGCGGTATCAAACATTGCATGAAAAATACACGCTTAGAGCAGTTCCTCGAATCAAATATCACATTTGTCGGGAGGGACATGGATGAAAGAGCCAGACTGCAGTTAAAGTCCACCATTTAATAATTTGGCAAATAATTCGACTACACATGTCCATGTAAACACAGTCACATTGTCCGCTGTGGGTGTGTGTTTTGACTCTGAAATTCAGCGCGCCCAAATAGACACTCCCACACCAAGCCTCTTTTCTTCCTCCGACACTCCCCCCTAAACAGAGCTGGACACGCCCACTTTTCTGACTTTTTCCTAAGTAGAGGTGTGAAAACACCCTGCTGAAACGAGGGGGTTTCATGGCTCTTTAAGTTTGAAGAATCACCCCTACTCCTCCCTTTCCTATATAGGGTGGCATGGTAACCCAGTGGTTGGCATTGTTGCTTCACAGCAAGAATGTCACCGGACAAAGTCTTTTGTAGGCCAGCTGACATTTCTGTGAGGAGTTTACATGTTCTACCCATGCAGGTTTCCTCCCACTGTCCAAAGACATGTGACAAAAGTAAAATGATTACATCAAATTTGCACTATAGATTTGCTCATAGTATTTTTTTTTGTCTCCATAAGCAACCCTGTCTGTCACAAATAAGAGGCGCACTCACTCTATGTTTTGGAACTGTGCCCAGGCCCATTTCCCGGATCGTTTGTGAAGTGTGAGTCCTCTGAATCGGGCTCAAGCACAGTTCAGTAGGCCGGCCCAGGCCCGGTTGGAAGAGGTGTGCGGTTCACTTGAGCCTGAAACTGAAGACGAGATGTGACTTTTTAGGGACTGTTTCATTTGTATTTATTCATCATTCTTGCGTTCATTGTAATCAAACTGTCGTAGATTATTAAAGACGCAAACCCCTCACTACATGACAGCTGTACCTTCAGCAAGCCTCCTAAATCCTGCAGCACAAGGACTTTGATAGTCTATGAGCGTCAAAAGTGGCTGATCTGTTTAGCCAAATATCGCTGCATCCAAACAACTCAAACGGTATAACTAAAGAAATGTCCACTGTGCTGAGCGAGAGCGCTTCTTATCGAACAGTGCATCATCGATGACATAAGCATGCACAGGCTCAAATGCAATGTGAGTGCGGGCCGTCGGGGGAGATGGGAGGGGGGCATGCGTACTCCAGCCCGGTTTAAGGCAACTGTACATAGTCTAAGTACGCCCTAGGAGAGTTCTCAAGACCTACTTCTAACTCCCCTCTCGCCATTTAAACGGAAGGGAGGCCTGGGCTCGAGAATCTTCTGAGCTCAGGGTTTTCTCCAGGACAGCATGCCAAACACGTTTTGTGAAGTTTTTAAACTAATTTCGAGAGGAGCACGTGATATAATTGACTGCAGCTGGCCACCTATCTACACTCATTAGTTAGCCAATCAGATCTATCCTAACCCACTATAAGTAGCCTAGCTAGTCATTACTCCCTTATCTTCGTTTTCCGAAGAAACCCCCCATCCACCCCTTTCTCCTCCTTTTCTCCTTTACAAAAAGGGGAGCTCTCGAGAACCACCTGATCTCGTACTCCCCTCACATGCTCTATGGACCTGGCGGGAGCCATGGGCTCAACTATCTCCGAGCTCAGGGTTCTCTCCTGGGACAGCATGCCAAACCTGCTTACAGCTGTCAAGCAATATCTAAATGTGAACTCTTGAAATATCAATTATCAGCTAAGGGTGAACTCTTAAAATTTTAGGGGTGCAATTATTACTCTTAAATTATGAACTATGACTTTTAGCTCAATAAACAATTATTTGCTGCTTAGTAGTTGGGTTTAGTTATTTATCATGATTAGGTAGTTTTTACTTTTTTTGATTTGTATTCAAAGAGAAATGAAAACAAATTATAATCTCGAAGTGTTAAAAAGATTGTTTACTCAAAAGGGAACATTTACTCACCCACATGTCGCGTCAGCACTTTGAGTTTCTTGAATAGTGTTAAAGAATTCTTTAAAGAATGTTGGAAACCAGTAGCCATTGACATCTGTAGTAAGAGGAAAAAAAATAAAATTATACTATGTAAGTCAGTGGTTCCAGTTTCAGGCATTCTACAAAGTAAAGTTTCATAAACTAATTTCTAGAGGAGCACATGATATGATTGAGCATGACTGGCAGCTCATCCGTAATCGGTAATAATCCAATCAGAGTGATCCTAGTTTACTATAAATGGATCCTTTTCTTCCTACAGCCCTATCTTCGTTTTGGAAGAATCCCCCCTTCCACCCCATCTCCTCCTTTTCCTCCCTTTTCTAAAGGGGGAGCTCTCGAGACCTACCTGATCTTGGATCCTCTGATATGCTTATTGACCAGGCGGGAGCCCTGGGCTCAAATACCTCTGAGCTCAGGGTTCTCTCCCTGGACAGCATGCCAAACCTGCTTTAAATGCCAAACATATCTAAGTGGGAACTCTTGAAGTATAGATTTGAGTTTAACAGAAGACCCTCAAACAAGTAGAGTATGAGTAAATTGATTTGAATAATTTTTTAACACCTTTTAATTATAAATATACCTTTTAATTTGAATGCTAATGCAATTAATCCAATACAAAACAACTTCCAGATGCTTCTCATAAATGATTTCTAGACATTTACCTGGTAAAATATCGAAATTTCCTTAAAATGATATAAATGTGCATTGAAGCAACACTGCTTAAGATATTAAGACTCATTTAAGATTGTCTTTAACACACCACTTAAATTCAACCTAACCTGTCAATCCAACAATTTACGATGCATTCCCATTTAAAAACAGCATAAATCCTGTTTCAGTAATATTTTCATCTTTTAGCAACACTTGATAAACAAATGAACAAAGTGAATTGCAGCTCTGGTATTGTTTGCTGTCTGCCTTTTGTCTGATCTCCTCTGCAGTCCTGCACCTCTGACAGGACATTTAATTACACAGGTTTGGGCATTTTAAGAAGCCTTTAATTTTCTCAGACCTTCAAGAGGCGTTTTCCTGAAGCAGAAGCAGACTCTACTGTGGTCTGTCTGGCTCACGGCCTTTCTGAAGCTCACACATACTTCATCTTTACTCTAATCATCACTCCAGTGGCCAGAACAACTAAAGTTAACTTTATGTCAGAAGTCTCTTTTAAAATTCCTCAGGAAAAAAAGCGGCAGTTGTCCTTATCTAGTTAGCTGTGAATTTAGCAGCTCTGATTACATAACTTTACTGACAAATAACACCGACAATACAGGAGAGATATCATAATAATAGAAAAACTCATATAAATAGATCTTATATGATTTTTCATAATCAGATTTACTTGTAAAATAGATTCCAGACATATTTGATGTTTTTTATATACAAAATTATCTATAGTGTTATAAGAATAGCACAATAATATTAATTTCAAATAGTTTCTCAGTTTAAGTATTAAAATATTTAACTAACATATAAATAAATATAATGAAAACCGTTTAACTGAAGTGTAATTTGCACTGCTTGGGGGGGGGGGAACTCAGCCTGTTCAGTAAAGTTAACTTTTTCTCTGAAATTTCTCCTAAAATGAGCAAACAAGTTTCATTCTCCAAATCCTGTACACATAATAGGCAATATGAACAATTTGAATATGAATAACCTGATTACCGGTAAAAGCAGGCAATTACAATAAAACACCAAGAACAGGGCAACAAATGGACAACAGTTGAATTACAGTATTACTAATCAGAGATCTAATCAATTTACTTTCTCTTCCGCTATAATCCTACTTTACACCAACACTAATTTAGACAAAAACAGGAAACAATAAATAAATATTGAACGATGGTGTAAACCACAGGTGTCAAACTCAATTCCTGGAGGACCACAGCTCTGCACAGTTTAGTTGCAACCCTAAGTAAACACACCTGATCAAACTAATTGAGGGCTTTA